ATTCCACTTTTCCCATTTGAAAGTTAATATTCTGTAGAATTGATTCCTCCTTCTCACCGGTTTCGTAGTTTGTACTACATTACACTGAACACCAACTACAAAAAATCTATCGGCTTCACCTGTCATACTTGTATTGACTAATCAAATATAAGAAAATCATGTATCCATTAGTATGATTAAGAGAATTTACCTCATTTACGTCTTCTTGTACATGTGAAAAAGATAACCTGATAAAAAAGGAAGTGGTGATCAACGATATAAGGACCTTATAATAAGGTTATGGAACAGCAATCTTGAACAACTTTAACAACAAAAAACAGCAGCAACCTTGAACAAGAGGGAGCGAGAGTAACAAAGTAAGAGAAACTCATTTTACTTAGGAAAAAGAAACGGTTTCAGAGATAGTGAAAGGTTGGGTGAATCTTTATAAGAAATTAGGGACTTTACTGTTTTAAATAGCTAACTCATTTTACTTAGCTATTTATATAATTAAAGTTTTTGCACGTACTTGCACTTATAATACTAAAATCATTTAGTGAAAGAAGCAAAATTTTAGATAGTTTTTTTGGTCAAAAAGTTATAGGTTTATACTATAATCTTAACTATAGTTGTTTCAACTTTTTACGACTAAACTATATTTTTTTTTTGTAATTAGCATCATTTTTGCAATCGATTTTTATTTACTGTCAGTTTATAATTTTGATTCAATTATTAAAATGGTATTTGACATCGGTTGTTACTGATGTAAATTTTGTATCACTTTCTGAATGATGTTAACAAACTCAAATGAATGCATCAATTATTTAATTGATATAAATTCATATTTTATATCACTTATGTTAAATTGATGCATACTAATTAAATTTTGTATCAATTTTGGTGAATTGAGACAAACTATTTAACAACATCGTTTATTATTATTGATGCTAAAATTACATATTAAGTATCATTTGTTAATAAATGATTCAAAATAACATCATTTAGTTTTGTGATGCTATTTAATTGATGCAATATAGTCTTTTTTTGTAGTACTGCTTCAAATGTGTTTCGTACAGTCACC